TACAACTCAAACAATCCACATGAAGAAAACGAAAGATAATTGTTTCTGTTTTAGGCCATGATGGTGTCATTTAGCAGAGGTATGCTGAAACCCAACACTAAATAATGCCCTTATGGCATAAAAGAATACATAGTCCTCTTACCAGACTAAGCTACTTATTCTTTTAATCTGTTATCTGACAACTATTTTGATTTTTAAAGTGAATATGGAAAAAGTCATTCTAAAATAAGCTTTCAATGTATAGGGGAAAGCTTGTACGTCCTTAGAGATTTACAAATACTGCATGAGAACTTGAACGTCTCCTCCCTCCCTCCGTGGACCCTCACATTGCAGACTCAGAACGCTTTGAGAAAGGCCTACATGGGGGAAGGGGCATGGAATTCTTTTAACAGCATTTCCAGGATTTTTCAGTGACTCATAGTTCTAGGCATTCATGTGAATTCCCAACTTGCATTTTAAACTTTACAATCATTTAAAAAGAGAATGCCTTCCAACTTTTCATGATAATGAGATCAAAACTTCCTCATAGAGAGCTTTAAAATAGTGTTAGTCTTTGCATCCCTTCTATCCACCCCTATATATGGCTCTTTTCCATTGCATTGTTAGTGGAACTATTTCATGAATTTCAGAGAGGAAGGACGTGATAGATTTGGGATGCTGAACATCGACAATGCTGAACAGCAAACTGGAATTTGGGCCCCATCCTTAGGAGGTTCCACAGTGATTCATGCATTTCAGCTTGTTCTTGGTTGTCTTGATCTGATTTTTCTATTGTACTGTGTTGGTCAGCTTTGCTGCGCTAATAAGCATCCCCTTCGTGACAGTGGCTTGAATATCAAACATGTGTTTTCATTCACATTACGTGTATGTTTCTGGAAAGCTCATTTGGGCTCTACATGTCTCCTCATTCTGGGACCCAAGCTGATGCAATAGCTCCTAAATGGAAACACTAATTTCCTCTTAAATATTCTGCTCCAATATGACATTTAGCAGGTCTCTTCATATTCTATTGCTCAAAATATGTCTTAAAGCCAAATCCAAAATCACAGAGGCAGGATTAATGACTTTTCCCACAAAATGAATTAAAAGTTTTATAGAAAAGGAAGGAGTGAATGATAGTAAATTATAATTCAACACACCACAGTATTATAAGAGGTGTGAATCTTAATTTTCAAACTCAAGTGTGCAAGAAATATAATTTTCTTTAACATCTCCAATAAAATGTCGTCTTTATCTTTAAGCCTCCAGCCACTGAGCTAAGAAGACTTAATCAGTTTTTTCTGGTTCTTCCTATTCTGATCCCACTCCAGATTAAGCCCCAGTCCTTAATCTTACACTATGCCAAGGTTTTAGGCAGACTATAGGCCTCATTCATTTGTGCATCTAGGATGTGGCTGAGTCATCAGGTGTATAGGACTCCTTCAGGTTTTTCAGCTCTTGGCAACTTAAAAAAGTTTTTAAAAAATATTTATTTATTTATTTTGAGAGAGAGAGAGACGGGGGAGGGGCAAAGAGAGGGAGAGAGAGAATCTTAAGCAGGATCCGTGCTGTCAGCATGGAGCCCTGTGCAGGCCTTGATCTCACAAACCATGAGATAATGACCTGAACCGAAATCAAGAGTCGGACACTTAATCAACTGAGTCACCCAGGTGCCCTATCCTTTGGCAACTTTTACGTCAAACTTTGGGCATGGGTATTTTGTGAATTTGCCTACGGCCCTGCTTACCTAGACACACCATGAAAGCATTTCATCCCCAGGGTCTTGCCATCATCATCATTGGTTTCTTTCAAGAAGCAAGGTGCAAGCCATTCTGCTCCCAGATCCAATGAAATGTTCAGTTCTTGCAGCACCCCTGAAACCCCTCCAACGTTAAGTTGAACAAAAATCAAAATGGCGGCACTAAGGCTTTCCCGAGGCTCTATTTTGAACTGAGTGACATTTTTCCTCTCTTCTGAAAACCTTACCCTTCCCTTTTTAGACTTTTGTTTCAGGAACCTGATACCACCTTAAAGACACAAGGAACAAGGCTGTCAGTGCATACACAACTCCTTTAGAAGTTCGGCTAGATCCTGTATTTCCCTATAGCCCACCCTAGCCCTTGGGTGGGGTTGGGGTGGTGAGGATTGCCTCAGCCTGCTGCAGCCTCCATCGTCCTGCAAAGCAATAAAGCTATTGTTCCTTTTTTATCCCAAACTCTGTCTTCACGTTCTATTTTGGTTTCAAAACACAGAGGTAGGTTTTCAACACCACCACCTGTATCTTTGGTCTAGAAGTAAATACAGGTTACCCCTGCCTTCGGATCCACAGGTTTCTTTGTTTCTGTCTTAGTCTGGATTCTTTCAGGATCAGACCTTGAAACAAAGATGTAAATTCAAGGAGTTTATTGGGAAGTGTGGAAAACACTAGTGGGTATGACGGAGAAACAGAATACAGGAAAGAGAAGACGGTAGAGTGCATGCTGTTAAGCCCATGGAAGATAGGCGTTTCATCTTACATGGAAATGCGGACAAAAAAGTATTCCACCTGAGGAGGAGAGAGGGAACTGTGGTATTTATCCACTAACTGGAGAGATTCTGTGATATGCTTAGAAGTGAAAGGGAAACACACAGCTAAACCAATGACTCTCAAGGGTTCCTGGGGCAGGCTGATTTCTCTGTTGATTCCTCCTCTTTGTGGATCAGTAAGGCTTCCAGTATTCTGGGGAAGCAAGCCTTACGGGGCAGAGATGCAGATTCGGCAGTTCCTATGTAACAGGATTCCCCCACGAGTCGTGACACCGAGGCCTTTCTCTCCAGGAAGCAGCTTTCTTCATGCCAGCACAGCTCAGTTGGGTCTGTACCCAAAGAACTGAGCCCCAAATGCCATGTAGTGTAGTTTTTTATACATTTTCTACTTCTTTGTCTCCCATATATGGTAACACACAAACATGCAGTCTGATTATGTGGTCTCTTGTTACAAGGTCCTGAGGGATGTTGTCAGGTATGCATATAGCCAGGTGGCCTTGAGGGTTTTTTTTTTTTTTTTCTTTCCTTAGGGTGGGGACCCTACCATACCTAGTCAACTAAAGTTCCTTCCAAGGGTGAAGGATAAGGACAGGAAAAATACTTCTGGCGCAGCTTGCGGGACCTTCTTTTCAAACTTTGGGAAAGCCATTTTTCTTCCTCTTTTGGACTACAACCATCTACCTACAGTCACAAACTCTCCTTGTTCTGGCCTTAGGCTTTTGTCAGTAAAACAAGGCAGATCCATAAGCTAATTTCTTTTATTGTCCAGCTGCTTGCCCCGGGCCGGGGCCCCGGGCGAGTCCGCACCCCAAGGCCACCCTCCAATCCTTAGACCATCCACCCTGGGAAAAGAAAAGGGATGTACCTGAGTAAGAAAGACAGAATGAAAGAAACAGAACAAAAAGTATAGGTTGGGGCGCCAGGGTGACTCAGTCAGTTAAGCATCAGGATTCGGCTCAGATCTTGCAATTCTGTGAGTTCCAGCCCCACATCAAGCTCTCTGCTGTCAGCATGGAGCCAGCTTTGGATCCTCTGTCTTCCTCTTTCTGCCCTTCTCCCACTTGCAAGTGCACTCACACTATCAAAACTAAATAAACATTAAAGAAAAAAAGTAATATAGGTGAACATCTCAAAGTTGTATGTTGTTGTCATCTTATACCTCTGCAGAGTTATAATGTGGGAGAGTTAAGTCTTTGGTGGACTGATTGCTAATAGCCACCTAGTTTCTCAGTGGCTTCGCACAACACAGACCTATTTCTTGTTCACAGAACAATCCGTTGAAAGTCTTGTGGGGGCCCAAGTGGTGAAGACTGTGCACCAGGCAGTCACTCAGGGACCCGGGCCCATTCCTTCTGGTGATCTTATCTCTAGGTGCTCATAGGTATCTCTAGTCATTTTTAAATTGTGAAAGAATATGGAGGATGATGCCTGGGAGACTTTTAAGGACAAATATGAATTGGAGTTCATTATTTCGGCCTACATTTTATTGGTTGAACTTCGGTCATAAGGCTGACTGGGAAATCCAGTTTATCTAAATATTTAAGGGAAAAAGGGAGACACAACAGTAAGTGACGAGGCAATCTTTGTCATGGTGTGCAAAATAATTTAAGAGAAAAACATTGAACTAGGGATATGAAGATATTATTTGTATTTATTCACTCACTATCTCTGTGACTCCCAACCTAGTTACTTCATCTGTAGCCCTCACCTACTGACCTGTACAACAGTGACAATCATATGTGTCCTGCTTTAGACCCAAAGGGGCATCAGATATCACTGAGTTTGGCATCTTTCTCTAAGTCTACACTTGAGACCACCTGTGTCAGATTGTTTGGGCAACACCAGGACCTACTGACTAAGCAATGTCTGGTGTAGAAGGGCCTTGGGGTCTGCATTTTATAATTATTCCAAGTAGTTCTCTGTACAAAAGTTGGGGATCCACTGAATTTGTTTAAAACTTTTCATTTTGCAACTAAAGAAATCATAGCTCAGAGCAATGTAGGAGATCTCATCAGACAGTTGTAGTTAGTATAGACTAAAGCTGAAATCCCTGAGTCACTCTCCAATGTTTTTTCCTTTTTTTTTTCCTAAACCACTCTATCTGGTGAAGATATTTTTGAGGATCAGATCGCATAATGTATGTAAACACATTTCCTTTGAACTATAACTCATCGTATTGAAAACGTTACTTAATTTTGTAGCCAGTGGTCAGAAAACACCCTCTTTAGTGTTTATCTTGTTTTGAAAATATTATTCAGCGTTTACCAAAGATTAGAAGCAATATGTGGCAACATTGGTTTCGTTCTTGAACTTTATAATTTCCTTATTATTTTTAAACAATTCTTTCATTTCTAAAACGTGCTCTAGACCGAGGCAGCCATGCTCGGATGTGTTTCTGTATGTCTGGTATCCACCTCCAGCCCATCTTAACTAGGCCCTGTATATCCAAATTGTGAAAGTGGGGCTTGCTTAGAATTCTTACAACACCTGCCTCTGTCTATTGTTGGTCTTAGGTGGGCGACCTGCTATTCAGTAAAACATCCTGGACTTAATATGGCTGCCGATCCCTTTCTTGGGGGCAAAGTGTTTTGGTGTTTTTGTTTTTCTACTTTTTATGGTACATGTGTTTCCTTCCACCTCTTCCCCAGAAGCAGTGCATTTCTGCCTGGGTGTTAGAAGCTGCAGGTCAGAGGGTCTGCTGTTCCCCATCCCAGTGGTGGATGGCTTTTCCTTCCTACTAGCAGTGGGTCTAGTGAAGTGAGAAAGCCTTTGTGCCTGTTCCATAGCAGCTGCTGATTGTCTCTGACATACAGCATCTTTTGCTTTCATCCTGAGTCTTGTGAACACTTAATGGAGTCCCATGGACTTATGATAAAAGTATGAATTTTCCTTGTTTCTGGGATTCCTAGATATTTCAAGCTATATTCTAGTTTATAGTTGGCCTTCAACAATTCATTAAAATTTTAACTTACTTCCTGGACCTATGGTATGGCCTCCACTTTTCCCATTCAGGTGAAATTCGTGTGTGTGTGTATGTGTGCCTCCTTGGAGGAGTTGTCACTCTGGAATTCAGTTTGCTTGGTTTTTTCATGAACTCAGCTCTCTCTGATGGACTTAGGGAAAATTATAGTTTTGTAGATTATCCAGACTTTTTGTGTTATTAATGTGAGATCAATATTCTCTTTGGCTGAGCACATGCAAAATTCCCCTTATATCCTGTATTATTTAATTGTGGTATTTAGTTGTCTGAATGGCTTTGGAAACCATTTGGTTTGAGGAAACTATAGAATACACGTATATGTATCATGACCAGTTATGAATCTAAAAAGTCATCACTGTGGCTTGTTCAGAAAGACTGCCCACTCCTTCTCACCATCCTAGGCCTACACAGGAGTTCTATTCTAAACCAGACCAATTCTAGTCTAAACCAGAGCATTACACATCATTGCAAATCTCTGGGCTTAGTGATCTGCTCTGGAGCTGTAGGGTCTAATTGTATAATCTGGGCTCAGGGAAGTAAATTGTGGTCTGCCTAGCTTTGCAATATACTAGGTTCTAATTTTTGAAGCTTTTACAGACATGCCCCAGATCAAGTCTGGTTTCTTCTAGACCCAAAGTAGCCTTTGTAGTAATGGGGTACTTCATATGATGTTGCCTAAGTCTTAAAGATATGAAAGAATTGACTCATTTAATTTGCAAACCATAGCGAGCACCCACAGACCCAGCATGAGACTTGGACTAGACGTAAGCTGGTGGGTCACAAGACTATGGCATTAGCAGGCAGTCACAAGGTGGTCTATGACTCCTAATGAATGCTGTTGGGCCTATTATGCCCCCAAATGGCATAATTCCTTACAGAAAAGGAAAGGGGTGTTGGGCCTGAGCCCTTGACTTTACCATATGATCTTTTGTAGTCTCAGTTTCCTCATCTGTAAAGTGGGAATGATAATGGTAATAACACTTATCTTCTAATGTTATACGAAGATTAAATGAGTTAGTTCATGTGAAACATTTATGAGAGTACCTAGCATATGTTAAGCCTTCAATAAGTAAAATTTGGTGTCAAGCACAATGCTAATAATTATTCCTTAAGATTTGACATTTTCTAGTTTCCCATAGCTTGCTTTATTGCTATATTCTTTCTGCTTTCCGATCTACTATAAGGACACAACTCTTCAATTTCTGCACCTTTTTTTTATCCTAAGTAATTTTTAAAAAGAAATTTCAAAAACAATTATATATGAAGTTATTGACAACTAGGTTTATTGTTCACTATTCAGTTTAAATCCTTGCTAAGACTGTTACCAAGAAAGTGAGTAGTGAAAATTGCATAATTTCGAAGGAAGTGGAATGAGGTATACTTCCTATAGCAAATATATATTATTTGTTTCATTTCAGTTGAAAATATCTGTTTTAAAGAATATTCTATGAATCTCTTTTAAATAATGAGATACTTTATATAAGCCAAGACAGACAAAATATATTAATTTAAAAGCGATTTTATCAAACAGCAAAATCTGTTAAACTGCATAGTATTAAAATCAGATACTACTATAGCTGGAAGCTATATAGATGCTAACATTTTAGCTAAGAAAGAAAAGGAAGGAAACATTTGTGTCAGGTAAGTGATAAATGAATTATAAATGAATGTTGAAGAATAAGGATAGCAAAACACTTTCTGATACACAAAATATAGTTGCAAACACTTTTTGCTATTTCCTAAAATGACGTCCTGGTCAAAAATATTGCTGATCTTCAGAGACACTCTTGTGTCTCCGAAATTTTCTTAGGAATTTTTGGTGTTATTAACACAACAGAATTCAAGACCATACAACTGGATCATTTCTGGAATGAATGAAACCACTCGGTAATTTCATACAATTCAATGACCGATCATTTGTTCCTTCATTCATTTATCAAAGAAGTCCTATGTGAAAGTTATGGGCACTGTGTTAAGGGTATAAAACGAGGAGTGAGATGCATTCCAAGGAATGATCTCACACAAATAATGGGCACACCAGCAAAGGAGTGAAGCATCAACAAAAAAACACAGGAAGTGTGGTAGGAATTTGAATGGTTCAGAAATACACACAAGTTTCTATTGAGAGATAGGAGCACACTGAATTAATTTAATTATCAGAGCTGAATATTTTATTTCTTTCAGTTATAAAGCCAGTCTATTTTTATAACTGCCCTCTAAACATGAATTAGACAATAAAACTGAAAAATAGACTTCTTATAAATGGACAATGGAGAAAAGGAGGTAAACTTTTTGGTGAAGGTCCTGTCTCCACGATTCCCAGTTAAGAGACAACATTATGAAAAACTGGGAGATCTTTTAAAACTAGGGTTTCCTTTCAGTATCTTTAGATGGCTTTATAAAAAAAAAGAAAAGAAAAAGAAAAGAAAAAAAAAAAAAGCTTGGTCCTACATTAGTGAACATAGAAAATTGAGATTCTTTTGTAAGATCTGGGACTGCTGTGTAAGATAATAGTAAATGTATTTTACTTTTTAAATATTTCCAGCGAAGGTTTTCATGAGCTTCATGTGTAATATAAACATGCAAAGAATGCATTTTAGCGAAACAAGAAACAACTCAACTCTTGGGATTGTTTCAGTAGCCAGTGAGAGGAACCTGCGTTCAAAAGTCACAGGAATTTAGGCTGAGAAAATGCTGCTTGTCACACATTTAAAATGCACACAACAGCTAAGGAAGTTGAAGGAAATTTAAGAGTTGAGGTTTGAAACAACGAACGTTGTGTTTTATCACAACGAAGGCATAGAGTATGAACGAGACTTTTTCAGTCGTTGAAACACTAGACAAGGAGAGGCCTGGGATCTTTACATTTGCAAAAGTAGATTGTTTCAAGAAATGCTGTGTTTTGAGACAAATTTAATCAGGCATGTTTAACTGGCAGAAATATTTTTACTTCTATTAATGTATTTAGAGATATTTAAATTCAAATTTGAGTTGCATCCTTTCTTGCTTGGATATTTGCTCTTAATTAAAACACTTTCTATCCCTTAATCCGTTCTATCCTTTAGCTTTTTTGCTATATATGAAGTTCTAAATCACGT